AGAGCTTTGAATTTTTTTAAATAAAAAAAAAATTGTACTGATAGAAGTTTTAATAGAGACGGGGGTTCTTGAGTTTTATTTTATACTCCATATAATTTAATATTAATATAAAACGCTATTCGATTCAGTTTGAAATTATTTGAACATCGTGTTATTTTAAAACTTGGTATATTTTGCAAGTTATTGTGATAAAATCACCATAGATTTTTATTTTTAGCTCTTTTGTAATTTGCTTGTTGGATATACCTCGTAGCTTTTATATAAAGACCTCTAAAAACCTATTTTGATCTGTTTGTATTCGCTCAATATTGCGTTTGGCAGCTCCTCACTAGACTGGACAAGCATAAGACTTTAATATAGCTTTAAATGCAACAATTTATGAAACGTGCCTACTTATTGTTATATTGACATTTCTTTTATTAGCTACAATATTTATATGGCTTTTTTCAAGTTAATGTTTGCTGAAGTAAAATGCCTAGGTAACGTACTATCTTATCAAGAAAATGTCCATCCTTCTATGTATATCATATTAAGCAAATGTTTACCAAGTCGTATTATTGAAACAGAACATATCTCACAATTTCTGCTATCTCGCATTTTGTCTTGATGCATGGCGAAAAGGAAATCTATGTTTAGTCATTTCAAATTTAAATCGGTAAACGTACATTTTTACAATAATAAATGGTCGAAGTTTTTGGCCCAAGATTACTTTAATATGATAGAGTTGATTTAATTTAATGTGATATATAAAACAACAAATCCTTTATAATAATAATATAATAATAACAACTATTATAACATTCATCATATTTTATACTATTAAATCATTTTTATCATGACGAACTTTGACATTTATAGAGAAATAAAACTACACGAAAGTTTTATTATTTTCCATTTATTGTTGAAAGAAACCATCATCAGAAGGAACAATACTAACAATTCCCCTTGAAATCCATCTGAGTTATAGTGATATTAATGATACTTAGATATTCCAACCAATTTTGTAAATAATTTAATAACTGTGACTAAAAATAATTTTCTATCAGAGAACCAGATTAAAAAGAAAACCTGAAAATAACGCCTACATACATGTAATAAATACACATACATCAACACGGGCACTAACATTTTGAGATACTCTTAATATGGGTCTAACGGAAGAAAAACATAGAAGTAAATGTTTCATGATTCAAAGTGAGAACTGCCTCATCACCGATAACTTCTCTCTGTCTTCTAAACCCAGTACCTACTAATTTATCAAATGAATACCGCCAAGTGTCTGTCAGACAAAAACGGGAGAAAGACAATTCAGAAACATTTTTATTTATCCTTCATTTCCCTTCCATCCCATAATTTAGAGCACATTGATGATATCGAAAATTCTACAGACGGAAGCTTGGGCGTCAGTAAAGGCCTTTCCTATAGCCTTTTGTAGAACGCAATATTCCGCGAGAGACGGCCGGTCGGTAATCAGTTGACGCAACGTGACTCTTAAAGCAAGGCTCTCGCCTTCGGGGAAAAGTTAATTTTATCCTACCGGGTGGGGTGTTCTACACTGTGCCGAGTTACACGCCCATCAAGTGCCAAATGGTAGAGTGTGGACCTGCTCGTTTGGCAGAGCGTTTTAGTTTGCTGGCCGTGGAGCCTCTGGCTAAAACCGAGCGTAGGACGAGCGTAGGAGGCAGGGTGCGGCTTTCGGTCGATCGGACGCCTCTTTTGTGCGAGTATGCGTGTGTGAGAGTGCGTGCGCGCGCATGTGTGTCTCTTTGTTCTCACCAACGTCTGGCCCACATTTCCAGAAAGCCAGTGACATCTCTTGGTTTTAATAAAATATTTCCCAGAACTTGTACCGTTTTTTTTCTCGCCTAACCACGCGTCAATCGTTTTTAAAGGGGATAGCTGAAAGAGTTGATGGTTACTTCGGTTATTTTTCAATTTCGTCAATTTTGGTTCGTAATTTTAAGAACTTTCAGAATAAGTATTTAGATTGATATTTTATACCGTTGGCTATTATGGTTTCGTTAACTTAATCGCATTTCACATTTTAATACTGTCATTAATTCGTGGGCAAAGTAAAACAATTAAACGTTAGGACATTGTCACATAACCAGAATTATACATTAATCAAAGAGTTATTTACGTCACTTATGAAGCTTTTGCTCATAAATTAAGCACGTTTATCATAAATGGAATTGGAACATTCGTTTAAGACAGGCATTCAAGCCCCTCAATTTTCGTATTACTTCGTCTAATTCCCTAAATTTTATCTCCTTTTTGTATTTCGTTAAATTGAAGACCCGACAAAATTCATGTATATCGGCGAAACAGAAGCATTTTCTAATTTATGGGCTTACTTCAACAATGTGTGTTTATTTTCACGTCATAATCACTTCGTTGGAAAATTTGTTCGAAAGAGTCCGTTGAGAACCAAACGGATATTCGATATTGAATAGATCAAGAAATGGGTGGGCGTAGTCTGAGCTCATTTAAACGATAGTCTTGTTTTGAAACAGTTTCAGATGAATAATCGAGTAGCCTCGGAAGGGACTTGTTTCAAGGAATTAGATGGCTCGGGAGATTTCACATTTTCAGATCGTTACATTTGAAATATCATCGGTTGCTCAGAAATCGCAATGCAGAAAAACACTTTATTTGTGACAATCTGTTTTTAGTTAATTTAAAGAACATTTGTCACTGAGGAGCAATATAATTTCAAAATTACACTAATTAAGATATGTTTATTTGAATTAACGTTTATATAATTTTCTCTATTGAGACTCAAACATTCGAGAACTAAGACTTTTGCTGGTCTTCCTGATTTTTCTGAAGAAACGTCTTATCGTCTCGTTTCTTTATTCCGCCGTTAATTTTTGTATCTTTGATATTTTTAGCACGAAGAGATTTCTTTCTAGCAACACCTAAGAACCATCAGTTTCTCTAACCACTTCTGCAAAATATTTTAATCTGTTGAAGCGTTGATTGTTAAGACGTGTTCTGTTAAACAAATTCTCACACGCAAATAATCGGATTAAATATAAAAATATTAATTGTAACTTCTCTATTTCGCCCTTCTGGACGGTATCTACAATAACGACTCGGAGTGGTTGAAGTGAAAGGATATGACAACGTCATTCAGGATGTTTCTTTCCCAAACACACTAGCTATATCTCATTTTGCTAATATATGGCATCATGGTGATAGGTCGGCTTCATTATCACAAACACAAGAACTGCGAAAGGAGCGTCAAAGAATTCAAGAGTGAAAAAGTGATAGCAAGATATTTAGAGGTATCTGGTTCGGCAGTCTGGATACAGCAGACAACTTAAATGCACATTCATTGTGAGGGAACGTAGCACACTTCGGTATGTGATTAGTAGGGAGCGGATTTTAATGAAATGTCATTTTTTCCCTTTTCACTTTAGAACAATGACGATTAGTACAAAAATTCATTTTAGGTGATGACAAAAAAAGATTAGATGTCATTTTTTGTACTATTCATCGATTTTGATTAATCAGTCATTTTTTATCATTTTATGTAATTTATAATGCATTTTCACTTATTTAATCTATTTTGCTTTAAACAAAATTTACGACGAGCAACAAATGTTCACCACAGAATTCCGGAATAGCCTACTCGATTTCTTTGCTCATATATTGTAATGTCAGGCATGGTGAGTACTATGTAATCTGAGGTTCCTTTGACGCCAATCGGCGCCATTCGTTCGATTTCGCGATAAATAAAGACAGATATTTTATTTTAAAGAACTGTTCAAATCAAAATTTAGCTAGCTGAGTTCACTTGAACAAAAGGAAGAGTCCGCGATTACATCAGTAACATACCCAAGAGCTTGATTTGGTCATTTGAAGTGGTTTTGATAAAAAAAAATTACGAAAATTTTCTTCGTTTTTAGGCATTTTAAAAGCATTTTATTGATCCTTTTTGGGAACGTTTTAGGTCATCAAAATTCGCCCCCTAGTGATTAGCTTAGTTGCGTCTCAACCGCAAGAGTGCGATCTCGGCTGAGGCGAGTGGATTTTCGATGGATGGGAAATCTATAGTGGCAACGCCGTACTTGAGGCTTCTAAAAGGATCATGGCTAAATGGTCAGCCAAATTAAAATATTTCGATTATTCCCGGCCAAATCAGATTCCTTAATCACTTAACAGGTGAAAGACTCAATGGATAAATATTATTGACATGAATGTTGTGGCACTGTCTGTCCTCTGTTAAGGGACTAAAAATCTACAAGCAATGCCGGGAGACTAGCAGGAGACACATCGAAAATTTCCAGCAGTGAAAGCCCATGTCGGGGATGGTTTGATTGTTGCGTGTTTCCGGTCGAGTCAACGGAGACAGTTATTATTCCCGTAAGTGTAGTGCGTGCAATTCCTCCGCCGAATGGTGGGATTCGGCGGCAAGCTCCACGTCGGTTCGCGGAGTTTTCCCCATCTAAATATCTAGCACCAGCGGGGCTCCGCCCCAGCCGGGACAAGCTCTGAGCTTTCGACAGCTCTCCCTATATGTCTGGTAGTGTTGTGCATGTAAGTGTAAGTAGGAAAGGGGCGAGAATAAAACAACAAAGACAAAGAAAATATCTCTGCGGACCGCGACCCGCTGGGTCCGTCTGTTAGGGCACTACTCCGGTATTCGTCTGATATCGTTCGGAGAAACAACGAGAAACTACCAGCAGCAGCGGGCGGCCGCTAAAATTCTCCTCCAGACAGCGACTGAATTCGACCTATACCGCCTTTCACGTTGTAAAGGCAAAACGTGACTTATGGAGAATCCGCGCGTTCTTGCTGACGCGACACGATCGCTTGCCCGCTCGCTCCAGAGTCGTCAAAATTACGGCTATCTCTCTGAACTCATGCGTCTACTAAAAACTTGTTTATTCGCACACATTATTGTTATTATTATTATTGTTATTATTATTATTATTATTACAGCTGTAATATTTTATTAGCGTAAATATCAAATACACAGGGATCCTCTGCACTTATTCTCTTAAAAAATTGCGAAAGAATAGTAAATTGTTGATAATCAAATATTGACTAATAAATGTACGCAAATAAACGAAACACTATGACCAGCATTTATGCAACTTTCATCTTCGTACTTTATTTTTCTTTTCTCATTTCTTAACTGGCGCTGTTCTGGTAGATAGATTTCGTTGACAATTCGTTCTTTAAAGGGACGCATTTTGACATAATGACATTACGGCATGTGAACATAGCCGTATTTCGCCCAGCTGAAGTATCTGAAATATTGTATGGATTTCTTCCAAAATAATTCCTCCAATTTCTGTGTATGGTATAACGGTTTGAATAAAAATGAGTTTAAAAAGTCAGATCCTCCGAAACCTAGCGTTTCCATTATTTTATTTAAAAAGTACGTGAGTGACACATTTTTCATGATTACCATCGTGTTCTTCGTTATTTTCTCTACTGGACTATATTTTTTCTACCTACTTTTGCTACAATCGATTTGGCAACAGTGCGCGAGATTCTTCCATAATAATCACATTGTCCAGAAGAGCCTATTGTGCCTTCACGAAGTGAAACTGATTTCGTCGTAACTCGCACCCTAGGACCTCCCAGTCAGAGGCACTGTGGTACTATCTGTTGATTCCGCGAGCCATCTCAACCGGTGTTTGTCGCGTGTCAGACAAACCGCAAGTGTCCGGGCATTGCACACAAACAAGGCACCAAACAGCCGGTCCGGATGGCCGAGATCGCCACGGCAGTAGTGCCGTAGCGATCTCGGACCGAAGGATCGCGTGTTCGAGTCCCGCCTGTATTGTGTTCGTCCTTTCACCTCCCTATCATCATCATCATCATCATCAAATCGTGTCATCCTCATAGTTACTATAACGTTACAAGCAATAGTGATCGCTGCTGACCTAGATCTTGACGCGACCTTAAATAACAAAAAAAGGCACCAAACAAACAAAGAAACAAACAAACATCGCCCGCCTCGGGCATGGTTGAATTGCGTTCGTCCTTTCACCCCCTATCATCATATCGTGTCATCCTCACAGTAACCATACCATTACATGCAATAGTGGTCGCTAATGACCTAGATGTTGACGCGACCTTAAATAACAAAAAAACGGCACCAAACAAACAAAGAAACAAATAAATATCGCGTGTGTGAGGGCGGGGGACTCACCGACGACGGGCGGCGGCACGCAGGCGGGGACGTCGCCCACCCACGCCTCCTGGCTGCAGAAGAGGCGGTCGGTGTCCGCGTCGCCCAGCACGAAGCCCTCTGCGCAGCGGTACAGCGCCAGCAGAAAGCGGTTGTTGGGCGCGCTGGGGTTGCGACCTCTGCAACAACACGCGACGACCTCCGTTGAACACGGTGGCGCTTCCGCGTTCACTTTGCGATAAACCAATGACGAGGTACCAATGGCGGCTCGTGGAGGATTCTTAAGACCTGCCAATACCACTACATTAAATGATTCATACAACACAATAGATTACATGCATATAAAAACCAAATTCATCACATTTGCGGTATTGTTACTGTTAGAAAAATTCTGTTAGTAGTTCCCATAAGGCAAGAACATTGATATATGAATCTTTACCAAAACGACGAACCGTAACGAACGACCAAGATGTCCTCGTGGATTTTCGTCCCTCTGGATTCCACGTCACTGAAAAAACCTAACACTTCTAGGAAAGAAGCTCGAAACAGTACAGTGCAGTACACTAAAACTATACATTTTCATTTTACATCAACGAAAATATTATATTTGTAAATTGCACTCAAAAGAAGAAAATGACAAAATTAAGAATTGCAAACAGCCATGGGTGGCTCATATTGGAAATATGCTGCAAGACAGACTTCCAGTGTAAGCTCTGAATTATAAGCCGAGAGGAAAGAAAAACATTGGAAAGCCAAGAACGAAATGGAAAGAGGCTGGAACAGGCAATATGCCTAATCCGTAAGGGAAGATGATCATGATGATGAAGAAGAAAATGATAGGGACATTCCTCCCTATCCACCCCTAAGAGACCATCACTGACGCGGTACATCTAGTGACATGTAATTTTGGCAGCTTGTCAATCGCACCCCGAATAGGCGCCTGTCGATTATCATGTCAGAGATCAGATCTTTGTCATTTCAGTTCATTGAGTAACCAGCCCACCGAGAGATCAGCCAATTGAGTGATCAGCCCATAGAGTGATCAGCCCATTGTGTGATCAGCCCATTGTGTGATCAGCCCATTGAGTGATCAGCCCATTGAGTGATCAGCCCATTGAGTGATCAGCCCATTGAGTGATCAGCCCATTGAATGATCAGCCCATTGAATGATCAGCCCATTGAATGATCAGCCAATTGAGTGATCAGCCCATTGAGTGACCAGCCCATTGAGTCATCAGCCCATTGGGGAATCAGCGCGATGGAGGATCGGTCTTACGAATGGGAAATGGGCACAGGAGCAAGGAACAACCCGACGACGGTCCATGGGCCGTTGTAGAGTGTGCAGCTCCAGCATCCATCTGAAACTGGTCTCAGAGCTAAGGCAATCACTTATCAGAGCAGATTACCGACCACATCGATCCCTGAAAGGGCCACGAACTAACTCCAGCTGAACCCATTAAGTACATTTGCGGCACCCGTGAAGTCAAGATCTTCCAGCGAACAGCACCCTCGATCGTTGCGTTGCTGTAAAACTCACTGCTGAAGAATGACAAATGGGAAGAAGAGGAAATTGTGGGTTTGAATACCAAGCATAACTGTTTGTATACAATTATATACTACATTAAGTATCAAAAGGAAGGGCATTTAACCTATTAGTTTCCATTTTACACTATAATTCTAAAAGGCAAACTATGCATGTAACAAGTATTGTTCTCTAGTTTCCGGGTCAATGCCTTCCTCTCCCATCCGTATCAGGTTTTTCATCCAGTTGCAGTGATTCTTTGAGTACCTACTGATCGGTCGATCGGATTTTGCTTCTAGACATTAATATAGCATCAGTATCTGTGCTAGTTGTTATAAATGCACAGTTGTGCTAGTTGTGAATAATGGTGATTATTTTCGGAAACTAACCAAAATAGTATTGATGAAAAATCTAGAATATTTTTTAACAATTATAATTTTAGAAATAATCTATTTTCAATGAGAAGGGTATGTTTGGTGAAGCCACTTCAAATGGAACCTTTGGAATATCTGATATCTTGCGTCATACATTTGTAATATTATTTTAGTTTACCATTAACATAAATTCTTTCACAGAGGAAAATGTCGATTATGACAATAGACATGTGACAGATGCCAGAACTTGTAAGCTACGTGTGTAGTACCCGGCATTTCACACTACCGCCTGTTTACATGTACGGGTCATGTACCTACGTCAGAACTTTACAGATTATTTCATGATTTGAGATAGTAACAAAACACTCATTCAGTTTCAGTAAACATCTCTGTCACAAATATGTTTAGCATATGTGCTGTGCTCTGTGTATTAAGTACGACCTTTTAAGAAAAATAAATTATCAAAATATTAAAAAAGAAATCTTGAAATGAATGGATTTTCACTCTATTGAAATGTTATGTTACTTCGTATAACACAACTAATTATCACAGGTTGAATGCATATCATTAAAATATTACATTGCAACTGTGATATTAAGATAATTTGATTAATTAGTTAATTGATGAATTATCGGTAATGGCAAATTACATATTTTTGCAGTAATTAATTATACTTAAATTATAATTCAATATCAATATCGTTTTGATAAATTGAACCTGCATTACATTTTGTTAATCTACCTTTAAGTATAGTGGTGTCAAGAAATTTTCATGTTCCCGGAAAATAAGTTTATGTTTCGTTATTTTAAATAATCGTGCAGTATTTTACCCCTTTTCAGCTTCCCTAATATTGATCCTCTGACGAATTAGCATAAAACGACAATACAATTAGAAAGTTGCAAAGCTCCAAGAGAAATCGTAGCAAGTAGCTTCATTAGAGACCTAATTTCAATGTACCAAGTATGAGTAAATGAAAAAAAACGTCATTTTGTATGCAGCTCTTATTCAAGTTGTTTCAAATGTCAGAAAACGATTTGCCTGCAATGAAGGAGTACGAATCCATTTCAGTTAATCAACAGCAAAGGGCTCGTATTGAAAATGTTCATAATTTACAAGGGGAATAAGGAACATAAAATATAAAGTTACAGAGATGTGACACTTCTCCACATATTGGTCTACATGTATAGTTTTCAAAGTATATTACAAGAGATCTGCGGGCTCCTTGTACATGCCACCGAGGAGAAGTAATGGATGTGCAGGAAGGGCGTACTGAAGAAGAATAAGCAGAATGTGAAACAAAGCGGCTGGAGGAAGATATATTCTGTGAAGTGACATTGCCAGCTCCAGACGTACGTGTTCACAGACATCACACCGCGTGCCATGGGGGGGGGAGGGGGTCCGCTCTCTGCCACCACTGCGCTCGCGTACAGAGTAGTCAATAGCAATGCTCCGAATGCTTAACTGCGCTGTATCTCACACACCACCTGGTCTAAGTTTCTGAATCAGTTGCACCAGCAGTCCTGCTCTGCGATTGGCATTAACTTGCGCCGTTCGCGGACGACTGGCCGAGCGGAGCTTATACGTGAAACGTGAAACTAGGAGTGACAGGTATCTAAACGTTTGACGCGCGCGATAATGCATCTAGGATTATCCTACAAGGTAGAACGTTCCTTCGGTAATCTGTTAGAATCTACTCTCCGAACACACTTATTAGTGCATACGAATCTGACTTGCAGTATACCAAAAATGAAACAAAACATACAATATGTGCCGTCTGTCCAACCAAAAGTGGAGGAATCGCCGATAAAATGTAGTCACTGTTCGTTTTGTGAGGAAGATTAAGAATATTACAACAGTGGACGTCATGTGATGTGAACCATTTCTTGTTCACGCCGCAAAGAGAAACAATATACAAATATTCGAATAGGACTATGACAAGAAAACAATTTTGAGTCAAAAA